TTGAACTTTAATCACATACAGGAGGCTCTTGCAGGGTCTAGCAAGCTATTAACATAGCAGGGGATAAGAAAATCTTAATTAAGCAGAACTTGCAATAAAGAAAGCCTAAATAGGGCTCTCTTTACAGGACGTGTTTATGGAAGGCTGTGCAAGTTACATGCAGGGAGGTGTGACTAGGGTTCATAAACAAAAGGATTTAACTCCTAAATGGCAGAGGATTGAGCAGTGAGGCGGCAGGGGAATGTTCTATACACCAAAACTGCTTCATTAAGCTAAAGTTGTTCAGGTGACTATAGTGTCCCTTTAATAGATATAAACCCAAACTAGAAAGATTAATAGAATGTTTTTTTAGGGAAAATGACCCAGCAGATACCTCATCGTTGACAACTTGGTGTACTTTTAAAGCAGTTATGAGAGGCCACCTAATCAAAATAAATCACGAAGAAAAAGGCAAAGAAAAACATCTAGGAGAGTTATATAGTCTCCTATATAAATTAACAACAGAGAACAAGTTAGATCCCACGCCTTAGAAAGCGAGCAAAATCAGAGATACCCAAAATGCTATAGCACAATGTTTAAATATTAAAGTAGCAAAAAATATTAACAAATTAAAACTTAAATTTTATTGTAGAGGGAATAAAACAGATAAGATGCTAACTAACAAGCTGAGGAAACAGCAAGCCAACTAAAATTGTTTACAATCGTAAGACATATATAAACCCAAAAGAAATAGGAAATTGTTTTAAGGAATATTATGGAGAGCTATACAATCTCCCAGTAGAGACGGCTATAGATAAAATAAAGCAGTACTTGGAAAGAACAAACTTACCAAAAATTTACCAAACTCAGGCAATAGGTCTTAACAGCCCCATCCTGGAAGCAGAAGTAAATATAGCTATTTCAAAATGTCAGAAAGGCAAAACACCAGGACCAGATGGATTCACTAACGTATTCTTTCACATGTATAAATTCTTACTGAGCAAACATTTGGCCCTTACTTTAATAATGCGGTTCAGAGGGGTAGTTTCCCGAAATGCTCAGAGCAAATGTGCTTCCTATTCTGAAGCAAGGTAAAGATCCTACATTAGTCTCAAGCTACCGGCCTATTTCTTTAATAAACACTAATGTTAAAATATTTTCCTCCATTTTAGCAGCACGGCTCTAATTAGTAATCAAAAAATTAATTCATAAAGATCAAATTGGCTTTATGCATGGAAGATGGGTTGGATCTAATACAAGACGAATTATAGATATTATATTAACAGATTTATTTAACCAATCATTGTTAACAGTAGTAGTCCCAGAAGATTGGAAGTTAGCGAATGTTGTGCCCATTTACAAGAAAGGCAATAGGGAGGAGTCGGGCAACTATAGGCCAGTAACCCTTACTTCAGTAGTGGGGAAAGTGATGGAAACCATGTTAAAGGATAGGATTGATGAACATCTAAAAACACATGGCTTTCAAGATCAGAGACAACATGGGTTTACTTCAGGGAGATCATGCCAAACTAATCTTATTGATTTTTTTGATTGGGTAACTAAAATTATAGATCAGGGTGGTGCAGAAGACATTGCTTACCTAGATTTCAGTAAGGCTTTTGACACTGTTGCACATAGAAGGCTTATAAATAAACTGCAATCTTTAAGTTTGGATTCCAATATTGTTGAATGGGTAAGGCTGAGTGACAGGCAACAGAGGGTTGTAGTTAATGGAATATATTCGAAGCTTGGACTTGTCACCAGTGGGGTACCTCAGGGATCTGTACTTGGACTCATTCTCTTTAATATTTTTATTAGTGATATTGCAGAAGGTCTTGATGGTAAAGTATGTCTTTTTGCTGATGATACTAAGATATGTAACAGGGTTGATGTTCCAGGAGGGATAAGCCAAATGACAAATGATTTAGGTAAACTAGAAAAATGGTCAGAATTGTGGCAACTGACATTTAATGTGGATAAGTGCAAGATAATGCATCTTGGACGTAAAAACCCAAGGGCAGAGTACAGAATATTTGATAGAATCCTAACCTCAACATATGAGGAAAGGGATTTAGGGGTGATTATTTCTGATGACTTAAAGGTAGGCAGACAATGTAATAGAGCAGCAGGAAATGCTAGCAGAATGCTTGGTTGTATAGGGAGAGGTATTAGCAGTAGAAAGAGGGAAGTGCTCATGCCATTGTACAGAACACTGGTGAGACCTCACTTGGAGTATTGTACACAGTACTGGAGACCGTATCTTCAGAAGGATATTGATACCTTAGAGAGGGTTCAGAGAAGGGCTACTAAACTGGTTCATGGATTGCGGGATAAAACTTACCAGGAAAGGTTAAAGGATCTTAACATGTATAGCTTGGAGGAAAGACGAGACAGGGGGGATATGATAGAAACATTTAAATATATAAAGGGAATCAACACAGTAAAGGAGGAGACTATATTTAAAAGAAGAAAAACTACCACAACAAAAGGACATAGTCTTAAATTAGAGGGACAAAGGTTTAAAAATAATATCAGGAAGTATTACTTTACTGAGAGGGTAGTGGATGCATGGAATAGCCTTCCAGCTGAAGTGGTAGAGGTTAACACAGTAAAGGAGTTTAAGCATGCGTGGGATAGGCATAAGGCTATCCTAACTATAAGATAAGACTAGGGACTAATGAAAGTATTTAGAAAATTGGGCAGACTAGATGGGGCGAATGGTTCTTATCTGCCATCACATTCTATGTTTCTATAGTCAGTGCGAAAAGGAAAAATATACCCCTTCTGACTATTGCTGTAGATGCGGAAAAAATCCTTTGATAGGTTGAACTGGACGTTTTTGGAATTAACTTTAGAATCATATAATATTAAAGGCTGGATGCTAAATGCTATTATGGCATGTATAACAATCCTTCCGCTAGAATAGTCGGACCAAATGTTTGCTCAGATTGGGTATTAATAAATAATGGGGTCAGGCAAGGCTGCCCATTATCACCACTGCTAAATATATTCTCAATCGAACCTCTAGCAGTTAATATTAGGAAAAATGTAGAGATCAAGGGATATAAGATAAGAGATAGTGAATTCAAAATTAGTCTTTATGCAGACGATATTCTCCTATCAATAGCGAACCCTAAGAACTCGCTAGACCCCCTGATGAGAGAAATAACGGAATACAGCCAGGTAGCAAATTATAAATTAAACAAGGATAATACAACAGTGATGGGTATTGAGTTAGAAAAAGAAATAAGAGAGGAGATTAATCGGAAATATGAATTTGCCTGGGCTATAGAGAAATTTGCATATTTGGGAGTAATAATTACTAAAGATATCAACAAAATGATGGAAGAAAACTTTCTGAAGCTTTTGAAAACCACTAATTTGTTACTTAAGGCCTGGAGACATACACAGATTACATGGTGGGGATGCATTAATGTTATTAAGTCCTATATTATTCCTAAATGGAATTATTTAATGCAAATGATACCTCTAAGAATCCCCCCTAGTTGGTTAACAATACTGCAGAATATTTTAGAGAATTTTATTAATAAAGGTAAAAAAAAATAGAATTGGCAGAACAATTATGTTTCTAAAACTTACAGATGGAGGATTAAACTTCCCTAATATAAACTTTATCTATTGGGCAAACTCAATATCCCATATATATAGAACTCAGCTAGTAACAGCTATGGAGGAAGGTTCGTTCAAAATTGAAATGGAGGATTTGGGGTTAAAGAACCCAGAAGGTTTAATTTGGAACACAAATAATGTTGAAAAAATGGGTATTGACATTCAGCATAATAAAATATGGGCACAGTTATTATGCTTTATAATCCATTGTTTGTTGCTTATAAAATAATAATTGCACGGAATTGGAAAAATAACCAAGGGTTATTTTGGGAACTAATTAAAGAGCAAATAATGGTTCAGATAAAAATGGAAAGGGATTTAAGTATCCCCTTCCTGAATTACCCAAAAAGATATTTGTTCTGGCAGGGATGGTTGAATGAAATTCAGTAATGCTAAAAATGGTACAACAACCCCTGGGCATAGACATGAGCCCCCCCTCCTGCCTAACTCTGCAGATATATTCTGTATAGTAAAATCTTACTTGTATTCAAGTCTGCAGCTGCTGCCTCTGCCCCTGATCTGCCTGTTTGGCTGACATCATCAGAAGTGATTCTCTGAGCCAATCACAATGCTTTCCCTCTTTCAAGGAGGCAGATCCAGCACAAGCCAAACACAGCCAAACACAGCCCTCGCTGGGCAATAGGTGGCAGGGGGGCTAGATGGTGGTTTTAACACTATAGGGTCAGGAATACATGTTTGTGTTCCTGATCCTATAGCGTCCCTTTAAGAAGGTTAAGTTGCCACCTTAAAGACACAATGGCTACCACATTAAGACCCTGCCCAAAACAGGCTCTTAAAAACATGAGTGTGACAATCACCACTTTCTTTAATTTTTACTCACATATTCTTTTGCATTCCCCAAATTTGTGGGGTAAGTTATTACATTGTGCATTATATATGTTTTTGTTTTTTTTAATGATTCACACAATCATTGTGTTCACATAATTTTTTTTTCAAAATTCACTTAATTTTGGGTGTGTATCTCCTAAACACTGAGTTGTAGTTTGTGTTAATAAAGTTTGTTGTGGGTGGTTGGGAGAGTGCCCACAGAGTGTTTTAAGCTGCGTATCACTTTCACAATTAACATACATTTATAAGCGCCTATTGTATCACAAATGTAATGCTTTTTTCTTTTACTATTCACAAGATGGCCTAAAGGTCCATATGGATGCTACTGGTATCTTGACTTCCCTTTATTAAAGCTACAACAAGGTTATATATGTACAGAGTACACCTTTACACCTAAAATCTGACTGACTCACTAACTGGTACCATCCAATAAATCTTACTATATGTCCATATACATTGCATTTGCTTTTAACTAGCTGGGTGCTAAAGATTGACAGCATCAATGGAAATTGATACTCTTGCCACATGTCTACTTGACTCACCTTTACATTATCTCCTTTCTGCACGGACAGCTCACGGCTGTTTCGGGCATCAAAATCATACAGAACTTGTAATGTGAGTGACTGATTGTACCTGGATTGAGGGAAAAATTGAGGTATTATAAAAATGTAAAGAACTGTGAGAAAGTAATATCTCCAAAGACCATAAGGGAAATTAAGTATTTTAAAAATAAATAAATAAATAAAAAAGTTTAATTTTAAAAGCAAATAAAACACAAATGTTAGTATAAAAATAATATACACAGGAGTTCACATCATAACCCAAAGAGGGAAGATGGGGAATTAAGTTTTTTTGTAATTACCTGTTGATTGGTGGAGTCTGAATGCCACTTTGGATCTGAAGTAACAGGTAAAATGTTATGATATACACAGACTGGAACTTTATAATTAGCATTTAGTTAAAAAGGTATTAAGAAAAATGCATGTGTTGACATAGGACCAATTTATAGAATTTCACACAATTTTTTTAATTACAATTTGTAATGAAATCAAATGAACACCAACATTCGATTCAGGGAACCTCTTTCGCTCCCCAACAGCCAATAGTTTTTCTACTACCTTACTCTATACCTAATACTTCAGATGCGATTTGCATCTTTTTTCTAGTACACAGTAGTGACCACACAGAACGCCCTTTACTAGCACAATACTAGGACTTGATGTTTGAGTTACCTTTTTGTTTATTTAGTTTTATACGCTGTTGTTACAATGTACTTGTTTTTATTTGGTTTATGCTTCCACGTATGCCATGCCCATACTAGCTTGCATTCACAATAAAACATTGTATTTGAAAAAAATAAAGGATGAAAAAAATGCAAAAAAAGAACAAAGTATATTCTTTAGTGTCATATAACCTAAAACTGATTTCGCCTCTCACATTAAACTTATTCATTTAAACATATCCCACATCCAAACTTAATCACAACCGTTCAGTGTGGGAATGAAGCAAAACACTGTCTTCTGTTAATTATGTACCAATAGCAATCCTGGAGTCATTAGAATGTTAAACTATATAAATTATTGAGTGCATGTATGCTGTTTCTCATACAGATATTTAAAGAGCCCATCCATTGCACTTTGAGGGTATGTGCTCCATCTAAAAGGAATGCACATACACACATGTATATGTAGAAAAACAACTCACCATTCCATTGTGTATACATACACTCATTAATGTTTTCTTTACTAAACCAATGTTTAAAGCAGCTTTGTCATAATTTGCGAAGACCCCCAACAGTTGGTGGGGATCCGGGGTCTATGGGGGGAAGGGAAAGTTAAGATTTACTTATCTGAGCAAATCACTCATGAGTGCCGCCATCTTCTTCCTGACGCTCTTCTTCAGCTTCTGGCGGTCCAGCTGCCAGGAGCCAATGTTAGTACTGTACTCTTAAGCATGCACAAGACAGTATTTCCCTTCTGCTGTCACTGGTGACCGGACAGGGAAATGGCAAGCTTGACAGTGGTACCTCTGCCTTTTTTGTCAAAAATATCATGCTTTATTTTATTACCTAAATCAGGTAACTGAAAAGAAGTTCTCTCATTGACATATATGAGTGTTAGTTTACCTGAGATATACTATCTAGCGGTCTACCCATTGTGTTTAATTGTCCTATGCTACCTACCTGTGGCTGTTCACTAAGGGAAGGAATTTCTGGGGGGATCCAACCATCAGAAAACGTGGGTATATATTGAGGGACCATTTTTGAATTTGGCCAGTCAGCTCTAAATGGAAGAGACGGGAAAAATGGTACAGATCATTCACTTATTTAGTTATAATACTATCAGGTTTTTCACTAAACTGAGAATGCCTGGGAATTCAAAGTGAATTTCAAATTGAAAGATAAAGTAGCCGAACAGAAAACATAGCTGATTGGGAAAATTTTTCCATTTCAGCTATTCTGACCATAAATTGGGATTCACTTTTAAATCCATGCAATTCTCACTTTAGTGTATAACCCTATTTGCTTTAAAAAATCATATTCCTCCTACCTTGTCCGCTTCCAAGCATCTCCCAGATCTTGCCAGAATCGTCTTTCCTTATCGGTGACACAAGAGCTCAGCAATGTCAAAGCCTTTTGGGTAAGAAGAGGCGACACCACAGTAGGAGCAACATTTTTTCGAGGACACTTAGACAAGACCTGAGACAAGGACACAACAATGAGTATAATGAAGAAGCTGTAAGAAACATTGTGGCAGCACATGTCCTCTGTCATCCTCACCAGTGGTAAGATAGTGAACATCGTGTGGACTAAGTCTGGTGCGGTTGGTTGTTGCATCTGGCTTTGAGCCTTACCCTGATAAAAAAATTATTTATATGCAGTTTCATATAATAGCAAAAAAAGAACTGTATGAAATCACCATTATATTTAGTATCTTTACAGGAATTTCCACTACCAGACTACTCAGGCTGAAATTGGGTTATATCTATATATTATATAATATTATATATGCCAGTAGGAGAGCTGGACCAGTTCCTTATTTACTAGGTAACTCTGACTTCCTTCTAGGTGAGTACAGTTGGGTTCACCCCAGCTAAGGGTGACCATATCCACCATGCTTTCAGGGACACATATAATTTTGTCATATTCATGAAAACATATGAAAAGGGTTGCCCTGCAGTAAGTATAATGTATATCCTGCAGGATTCTTCATTTCCTAATTGCTTAATCATATACACCTTCTTCTAAATTTACATACTACAGGTCAATCCTTTTCATATGCTGATCATCAATATGCATATGTGTCCATGAAAACATGGTGATTCTCATCACCCCAGTTTCCCCAATTGCCAGAGCGAGTTCCCTGAGTTAAGAAGTTTTGGGATTAATTCAGTGGGACAGAACATAACTCAGCAGCTAGGATTGTTTCTAGGGCAGTTGATTGAGTTCTTTAAAATTATTCTCATTTTATATATTTCTTTTTCATTCATGTAATGTATGTTGGTGAAGATATTAAAGTGGTCTCCATGCTTGTAGCAATCACTTGTTGACAAGTTACTAATCTCTAAAGTGGCTACCTCTATGTCATGCTGCCGACCTGGGGAACCCACGTGCCCGCACCATGCTGAAATAAAAAAATAAACTATTTAAACTCTTTTTTTCCTTTTGTTTGATGCCCTGTCGTGGTTTCCATTTGTTGG